CGTGGTTGATTATGTTACTGTTGATCATCTGTCCATCATCATATAAAGCCCGCCCTGACAATTTGATTGGCCCGCCAGATATTGTGCCAGCATACTCGCGCTACTACTGAGCAATGCCAGACCGAACTTCCCGACCTCAAACGTTGTGGGCGGGACTAAGTTCGGAATGGCACCCAGGCTAGCCCTGACGTGCCTTGATAAACAAATTAATTATTTTAAATACGGAATGATTTGCCACCAAGCATAAAGCTCCCTTGTATAAGCAAGAAAGTACTCCACGAGGGACGACTTACGCCCAGATAAGATCTTGTTCTGTGTGTGTGTGTGGATCTTGCCCTGTGCATGTATAAATCACATATGTGTATTTTTGAAAATTGAGACAGATCTAACTCCATACATATATATATATGCAGCGCTCGACACTGCCAATGCTAGGAGTGGGGCTCCCCTCTTGAAATACCAACCATTGGAGTTGGGAGAAAACAGACCGTCACCGACCAGGTCATGTGACTTGGAAGAACGTATCACTGTAAGGTCACAGGCTCTTATATAGTCAGCCTTATAGAACTAAGGCATCTGCTCTACCATTTTTCTGCCTGCTTTACTACTGGTCATGGCTGACAAAAGGAATAAGTTTAAAACTTCTGAGGAGGCTAAAAAGAGAAAACATGAAAGGGATTGAACAGAGGAAAAACAAAAGACAATCATGGAAAAGAGTTTGCTTGTTGGCTAAGGCTTAAAGAAGGAGCCAGATGAAAAACCATTTCTGTTTTTTCAACTGTATTATTAGACTGGTGAGTTAACACTTTGCTCCTAGTATACAGTCATAGATCTTTATTATTATTTTTGATGTTTAGTAGAAACAAAATACGGGCAGTTACAGGTCTAATGCCCCTAGTGGCCAAAAGTTAAACGGTGTGCCTTTAAATTAATGCAAACTCTAAAATCCTTCTTCATTTCTCCTTTTAATTTCCCAATTAGTCCAAAGGTAAGTCATATTATATATTTACTATAATATTGTGAAAAAATATCCATATTCATGATGATTATAAACTAATAACAGCTCTGGATTTCACTCTTCAAATTACAGAGTGATGAAAACCAGATATTATATCTCCACATGCAGCAGTTGAATAATTGTTCAGGAAATAAACCCCCAAATCTTTTTCCCAACATATGAACACACTTAAATACGTGTTTTATGTTTTAACCATTTGAACTTTTAAATCCACAAAGCAAGCAGGATTTGAAAACAGTAGGCTTTTGGAGATAATTATGCTAAAGCCCAAGATTGTGTTTTGATAAGATATCACCGCAGATCCAAATATTAATATTTATAATTAATTTAAAGAATTAAAATACATTGCTAATTTAAAAGTAAAATGTTAGTTTAGTAATTGCCCTTTTAATTTGGAGAAAATAAGTAATTTTTTGATCAAAAATATCTTATCACACAGGTTGGTAATTAAAACCACATTTTTGTTTTCCAATTATTTAACCCCACCTGGCCAGCAACATCTCACTCATGCATTCATTCAGCTGAATTATTGAGCGTGTTATGTTAGAATCACAAAGCTGAGATGACCACAGAACAGCTGAAGCTTTAGTCAAGCTTTTAATCTATACGTCAAACAACATGCTATAGGACACAAACAGCAATGCATGAGATGGCAAACTTCACCAGAGCCCATATTTACCTCGGGTTGCTAGGAGATGTACACAAAGTGGAACCATGAGGGATTGGGATAGAGAAAAGAAACAACACAAAATAATAATAAACAAAAACAACCACATGAATGGAGCAAACAGATGTGAGAAACTGAAAGAAACAACGGTATAAAAAGTGTGGGGATCAGCTGGTAAAGCAGCACTGTGTAACTTTTAGCCACTAATGGGTACAAGGCCGCAGGCAGCACTGCTCTACCGCAAAATTCAACAGTCCCCTCCAAAACGTACATGATGCTGCATTGAAGAAAGTGCTTTTTTTTTTTTTTTTTATCTAAGCATTAGCATGGTCATCTGCTACTGCCACAATGCTGTATATCAAAAATCAAAAATAGATGACTAGAAACAAAATGTCCTTTAAAAATACATTTGGGTCAAATAACAGGAGTGACTGTAAAGACTGACTTATTACCAACAAAATCTGAAACAAAGAGAATCAAATATTGGATCAGAGTCATTATTATCTTTTATGCCCATTTTAAACCACAGATATACAGGTTTCTTAGAAAAATAATGGGATATATATTTTAAGATTTAGCGAATCAAGAGACACTGATACCAAATATTTACATACACTGAATAAAATAAAATTTTTTGTCTCCATCTTACATCTAGGAGCATAAAGTCCTGGTCACAGGGGTTGCGTCAATTTTTTTTTCTGTCACACTGACTGTAGTGAGTGTAGAGGATCCTGATAAGCAGGATGAATAGATCCTGATCCATGCAGATTTTTTCACTTCTGTCTCTGCGGCTCAAAAACGTAAACAATGTCCCACATTTGACTGGGACAGACAATAAAAAATATTTTTTAAAAACCTGTCGGCGCAGCCACCAAGCGTGCATATATATATATATATATATATATATATATATATATATATATATATACACACACACACACACACACACACACACACACACACACACACACACACACACACACACACACACCGTATTTTCAAGACTATAGGCCGCCACTCTCTTAGTAAGCTTTGAACCATGCTGCCTATTGAGAAGGTGCGGCTTTTCTGTGGAGTTTTTCCTAACCACCAGAGGGGGAAGTCAAAGTTGGAAAAGACAGAATAAGGGTTTTCATTTAGAACAAGAACATGCTAGCAGCAGCTACGACTGAGAAAAAATATACTGAATTCACACATTGGGCCGGATCTATCAAAGGTTTGCGTGTATTAAAACGTGAGCTATTTCACTGCGCACGCTAAAAAATGTACAAACTGATCTATCAACAGCGTGCTAAAAGGATTTGGTCTTTAAAACGTGCTAAATAGCGCCTCTTATCAATTTAGTACTTTTTCTGCAATGAATATGCAATATGGGGCGTTTAAACGCAAAAGTCCGACTTGTGGGAGGATAACATGTAAATAT